CACCTCGGACTTTGAAAATTTAAGACGAATGTATAGCGCATTCCTCAGGGATTTAGCCATGCCATGAGCTTCATCTTTTTTCAGTTGCCGTCGTTTATATCACACTCTATAACCCATGCATGCACATTGCCTGCACTGTCTGAAATGCATTATTTAGTACTAGTGGCTATGAGGATGCTACAGTGGTTTATGAGTTATCTCCCATACTCTTTTACTTATGCGCAGCGCAACGAATATTCACTTTGTGATGCTCAAGCTATGTTGCTCGACAAAACATGTGCGAAGCTCATTACATGAAGAACACCATGATGACAGAAACAAACAACCCTCTCATTGACTGAGTTCTTCCTATCTGCAATATCATTTTAAAGAGAATAACTGACGTGTTTCAAGCTGCCAATGGCATGGTATATTACGATAACTATTGCACGAGGGCAACTAACTGAATAATACCACATATCTTCTGCAATGACCCCACTCATACAGGGAATTTCTGAAAACGTACTTTGAGATTTTGTGAACTTAGACAACTTCATAGATCGCGCCAGTAAAATAACAAACATTCTGGATGTTTCCAAGAGTTTGATGCTCATAAAGACCGGGAGTAAAACTAGCAAATAGGAGTTCGTTCGATTTGTATGCAACATGCTCAGTGATACGGATACCTTCTTCTCTCTAGAATTGCTGACCACTTTATTTTAATTAGAGGGAATTCAAAAGTGTAGAGCCTTGTCAACAGACATCTTCAACCCAGCATGGCCACTGAAGCTGAGTACGCTATTGATGCTTCAATCGAAAGTATAGTTCAGAGTGAATCTCAATTCCTGGCTATAAAATTTGGCAGTAAAATTGTAACTGCCTTTCAACGAGAAATTGGAGAAGATGTAGGACACCAAAATCTCAATGCCCTTTTGTGTCACTCGGGTAATGAGAGTCTAGAAAGCAGCTATATCTGGACATCGTGCACTGGAAGACTGAAAATTATGATTGTGCGCTTCCGAATAGTTCATTTATTAATATTGACGAAACTATTATCCACATTTCCAGAATAAAAAACTACGTACTGCAAGCGAAGCAGACAGAACTTTTCGCAAGGAAGATGAGCGAGTGAGTCCTTTTTTTATAAAAAGTGATTTTGAAGCACAAAATGCGTGCATTCGTTTCATCGATTCTGCTTGATAGAGCCCTACACGCTACACAGTAGCAATGTTCCGCAGTGAAAAAATCCGTCTATTTTTACCATATCTTTAACTTTAGAAGCATATAACAAATTACAAAAAGTCATCCTAAATAGTAGCCTAAAATTCATGATAATTCATCACGGCGTAGACGAACAATTGAGAAATAGGTTTAGAGTGTACAATGGCATCATAGAACACGAATTTCATTTTGACAAAAAATTGACTGCTTTAGTCCATTAGGAAACATTGGCTTGTTTGAATTGAGAATAGATTTAATGGATTTTTCCCAGTGGTGTTCTACCTTTTAGTGATGTAAAAGTCCACTTTATTGGAGACAAAAGTTCTAAATTTTATTAGAAAACTAAGCACTGTTGTTCGAGCGCACCCGGTCATTTGATCGACCGCGTCGCGTGCCAGTAGCCAATCAACGTGATTTCAAAATGGTCCCAAAACGTCTGTACCACTCACAGCGTCGCACTGAAATCAGTACTGTTCGTATAACTTGGCTTCTTGAGGCCATAAATCCATTGCTCGGATCACAAAAACAGGAAAGGGACTAAATACTTATGTGACTCAAAATGATTTGAAAGAATGTAGATACCATATCTACGCCCACTATAGTGTACTTGCCGTGTTTTATAATTAAAATGCATAAAAGAAAAAAAAAAACAAAATGCCCGTTCAAAACGGAATTTTCTTTTTGGGAAGAATTGAATCTTTCTAAAGCTAGGAGGAAAGGGATACCGTTTGTATCAAGCATCTTACTGAGATATGGCCCTTTGGGTCTTACGTAGACAGTAATCTTCATGAAATACGATAGCGAGTGAGCTCTCTTGTATGGAAAAAGAGCTCAACATATGAAATACAATACGAGAACTAAGTGGATTTGATGCAACAAGGACGCTAGCCGAAAGGATGGAATAATTAGTGTGTGGCCGCTTATATTCAATCTGGGTTGAACCGCTTTTTGGCGTTGGGGTACTTTCCCATTGTAAGGAAACAGATGAATAATGAACTTCATTCGCTCTACAAAAATATAGGAGTGTTAGTAACCATTCGGATATTTGATTTGCTGACTAAAGCTGTACGTGGCCGGTTCTTCGAAACACCGTATCATAACTCTGTAAAATTCAAATGGAAATCATAATTTACACTGATGGCGCTCCTTCAATTTTATTACGGGTATAAATCGTGGGCATGATGAAAGTGTGCAGAAAATTCCGTAGTATCCGAGTCAATCGTTTCATATGGAGCTTCTTACAAGCGAAAAAATTCTTAATTGAATAACGAGTTTCATACCACATGTCTAACGCTTTAGGTCATCGATCGATCGCCCCGCCTCCAACACGTGGAAAAGCCAGCAAACAAGCTCGCCATATATGTGAAACTCGATCTTATTTTCCTTGATGCACCTTAGTGAAACAATATTTTCTGAAAATAAGCAAAGCGCTGAAATTATTGGAAAGCGTGCGCTACCGAATCATTACTATCAATTCAAAGAAAAAGCTCTGTCCAGCGTGATGTAGAACATAAGAACATAAATCTTTTCTTTCTGTTACAGCGCTATCAAAAAGATTTTTGAAAGCAAAAGCATTTTGAATTCATCAGGACTTCTGCTATCGAAGGAGTACGAGCTACGAGCAGTCTAAGGAAGGAGTCTTGTTAAACGAAATTTAAGAGGGAAAAAAGCGTTCTTTGTGGGAACATAATATTATTTTGAATCTTACAACGTTGTAAAACGGTGTTTTAAGAACTGGCCGCGTAGGGCTATAACCAGAGATTCGGGCTGTGATTGTTAACACCCCTATGAGAAATTCTTCTTCGCGAATGAAATCAAATATTTATTTGATCCCTTATAATCGAAAAAGCACCGCGTTGCTCCTCAGTTTCTCAGAAGGTACAAGCTGACACAAATTTTCATTGTGAGCAGCACGTTAAACGAAGAAAGGCAGTCTCACATACAATTTCTTTCCACCAAACGAGGTATTCATGAGATTGAGATTCAAAAACTTACTTAGAAAGTTTGTTATATTGCCGTAAAAAGCCCATAGAAATATCTGACCTAAGAGGTTTCTTCATTTTTCCATCTTACATGACCTTGTTTACGTGTTGCTTCGGTTACTGCATGAAGAATTTCTATTCTTGTGATTTTCGTAGATTGCTGGTCTAGACGATTCTCTTTGCATGCTTGGAGTTAGCTGAGCTAAGGCGTTTCTGATTATTCGATTATTTGCAAAGGAGAATGTTGGAGGAGGAACCGACCGAGCACGTCGTTCATCAAATCGCGCACTAATTCAGTGCACCGCTAGCCATTGCGCCTACCCCGTCCTTGAAGATTTCTAATCAGTATGATGCAAAACTCGAGACTTTTTTCAAATTGACAGTCGGCAGTTGCAACATCTTTGTTTCGCTTATACCAAGGTTCTCATAATACCAAACATTAGAAGCGGAGCGAATGTTGAAGGATTTCGAAAACGCTTGTGGGAAAACTGGTCTGAGACTAACTCAAACGAAAACAATCTTCTTGTGGAGCGGGTTGATTTCGAATACCTCATTGCGCCCAACGGAATGAATATCTCCAAATGTTTCATTTACGCTTATCCAAATCGGGAAGCCATTATGATGAGCGTTTTAACTTCAGAGTTAGGCAGAAGGAAAATAGCAGCTTGGGGAGCGTTTATAATCATTGAGAATATAGATAATAGAACGAAGAACATCCGACTCCATGATCACTTTCCCAACTAAACGGTTATTCCTGCCCTGGAATGCGTTCCAGAAACTTTGTCGCTACGTGAACTCGATGAAGGTCACTTAGCGATAATGAACGCGCAGTGGAAAGACTGATGCTAGGAGTACCCGTATCTCACATACGAGAGAAAGGATATGAAGTTCCGACCTGCGTCAACGAACAAAAGTCAAAGATGCCGATCTACACGTCAGGCTATCGAAGAAAAGGTGAACTGGACTGATAGTACGCCTTAAGGTCAACCGATGGACGAGAGCTGTTACTGACTAAATCCTTGCGATGTCAAGTGATAAGAAGCTACAGACACAGTGGTCCGATTTCCTCACGAAAGGCTTAGAAGGAAAATATGATGCTCAACAAATTCCGAAAAAAAAAACGGAGAGGGCTCACTGCAGCCCTTTTTTCACGTGATAGGTAACCAAAGCTAAAATTCTTCTGGTTCCCTCCAGAATCACTCAACATCAACGAGACGAAAGTGAGATTCGTGATGCTCTATGCCCTTCTACACATGTTAGCATTTTTGAGCGTATACTCAATTTCTGTGTACACAAAGCACATTCGCCCACTTTGCATTTAGTTTATGGGATGGTAAAGATGGCAACTCTTATTCCCTCGCTCTCCTCGTTTTCATATTATTTTCTTTATTCCTTCCCTTCTTCTACCCTATACGCGCATAGTGCAGTTGTCAGAGGTGTCCTACAACGCAAACGTGATCTTTGGTTCGAATTTACGTAGCAAGACCGTTATACTTTCCATTCCTCCAGTGTCTGTAAATCGCTACCAGACTTCTCTGAGAGGATAGCAACCTTGATCTTATATATCGGCTGCCATTGCGAGTATGAAAGGCATGATATCATTTGGTTACTTCCAAAGATGCATGATGAGACTGAATGTAAGATCTTCGTTAGAAAATAATCAACGCCAAGCGATTTATCCTCATATTTATTTTTGCTCTCTCACTTATTTCCCGCTTGATTCTTTTCTTTCAGTAATTCAAGTATTTTTATTACTCTTTTCGCAGTGTTATGATGTTTCATTCATAACTAAGAGAATTGAGTGGTGAAGAAAGATACGACCTCAGACGGGAGTCGAACCTGCGCTTCATCCATGCCGGGAATGCGTGCTACCACTACACCACCAGCGAAATTGCTTACCGGACCAAACTTGTTAAAGATTCGTGGCCGATAGCTAACTCAGAGATATTGAAGGATGAGTGGTGGTGCGAATGTACCTCGGTGGTGTAGTGGTAGCACGCCTCTCCGGTATGGATGAAACGCCGGTTCGTCTCCCAGCTAAGGTCGTATTTTTGCTCACCACTCATTTCTCTATCTTTTCATTTTTTTCTTATGTGCCTCCTCTCTTTCACTCTCTCGTAATGATCACAATGGCTACACCAGCATGATTAAAGAATAGTTTAGGCTTTGAAGGAATTTAGCTTCTATCATGGATATTTGCCCCGTGAAGATTTAATATTTCTTCTACATTATGTTGGAGAGTTTCTTCTGAGATTAAGTGAGGTAAAAGATAAAGAATTTTCCTAAACATACGAAGTGCAGTGATTTACTGAGAAGGTTGTGACTTTAGAAAAGATAGAGTGTGATATTATAGGTAGACCAGAATCCTCCAGAGCATTCAAAAAGAGAAATAATATTGTCTGTTGTTTGCGAAGGTGAAACAGATAAAAGAAGAAACACACCAGCAATGCTAAATTACGAACAACAAGAGGAAAAACGACTTGGTATTAAGAAATACGCGCGAGTACGAGGAAAGGTGATGTAATATTTGAAATTTCACGACTTGCAGTAGGATATAACTTACTACATGTGGATTACTAGATGGGAAAAAATGCGTAATACATTTTAGAGTCAACATAAAGAAAATCGAGAGAAAAACAATTTTCTGATAAGGATATGACTTGTTTTGAGCCGATAGGTCTAGTGCTGTATGCTGGCGCCTATAGCAGGCTATGAATCATTATAAAAACAGTTGTATCAAGCAATTTTTCAAATGCGAACTTATTTATCAAGTCGTATACCATTTGTAATGCTTCTAAAGCTTCCACTGGGTTCCCATATAAAATATCGGAAATTCAGGTGAAAAATATTATTGTTCATCGGCATGAAGGAAAGTATATGCTAGAAAACGACTCACGTCTTCAATTCTCTCTGTGATCTTATAAGCTACTATAAAAAAAAGCCTTGTTTGATTTTTGGGGTAAGTGGCTTTTAGCAACACGTACTAATAATAGAAAAGACTTGTGAATGAACTTCTGATGATAACCTATAATCGATACGGCTATTTGGCTCCCATTCTATGCCAGAAAATGGATGAAAAAGGGAACGGAAAGGAACACAGTAGACAGAAAAGATGAATAACGCGCAGCATTTGATATTGAACAATTCCTGCGGGCAGTTCCATGCACTCTAATTCATTCGTTTCATAGAAATTTGGTAGTTTGACTTATTTTACCAAGGTGATAGCAGTTGATTGCTTTAAAATGATGAAGTATTTGGGTTGGTTAGGATGTAGGATTCAATCAAATAGATTGTGCGTGGTATAGGACACCTCTAACCATTCCGTTAAACACACTACATAACATTGACAATGTGCAAGAAATTTTCTTGTAGTGGTGGATGTTTTAGGCAGGGTTTATGCTAAAATATCCCATACCGCCGCAATCCTGGGAGTACTTTCACACAGATATACATCTGGGAAGAATTCTTGGCGAAGGCGCCTATGGAATGGTGAGAGCTGGACGCCTTCAACTAAAAAGTGGCAAAACTATTGAAGTCGCTATCAAACAGGTAACGTTAGGGAGCAGTACATTTAAATAAGATTGAAATTAGAGAAACGAGCAAAGAAAGGGTGTGGGCTTGACTACAATGTGCTTTTGAATCGGCACTTCCATTCTATTGAAATTGAAATGGAGGTAACATGCAAAAAAGGAGATGTGAGCTTGAGCATTCCGTAATTTTCTAACTTGACAATTCCATTTAGATACTTTTGGAGCACAATTTGGATGATATTCTATAGAATACTCTAAAGTGTTGTTAACTATAGAAGAACAGCGAAAACAGCAAAAACTGATACCATGGGGTCGCAATGGGGTGATTTCCAATTCTCTTCCACCTGAATAAGAAGAAATGTGACTCTTTTCTTTTGGCCTATCAAGATATGTTCTTAGGTCTGTTCCGAGACCAAAACAGTTTAGATAAAAGCTGCCCAATCGGATTATTCAGAAAGCTTTTTTATCAGAAATAGACTATTTCTAATAAAATACTTTACGATCACATATGTCCAATTGCTGATCTTTACTAACTTCAAAGCTGGAACTTAACGATCAACGATTTCGAAATTTTTCCATTGAGAAAAGCCTTCAAAACCTGTATTTTCAAAGTTCTTTGTAAGTGCAAGATATTTACAAATAATAGCCTTATTTTATAACTACTGATGGGCTCCTAACCTAGAAATTTCTTTTTTTTTCGGAGAAATGAAGAGTTACGATCATTATATGCAGTCCCAAAAGTATATCTTATTATTTGTTTTTTTCTACGACCCGTTGACTCATTTCTTTGCTTCCATAGTCCACAAAAGTCCTTATGATTCGGCTGTTGCTCATATATTTCTCCTTCGTCATAAATGCCCGTTGTTTATGGTTGAATCGCTTCTTCCTGAAACTCTGCGTAACCGGACCACAGCATAATCACTTAGACTGGAGAAAGTGAACTATTCTCAGAGAAGTGTGGTACAAGTTTTTAGACCCAAGAGGAATAAGAATACTATACCTTTCCTTCGACTGCTTTATTAAGACCACGCTCAAATTTCAATAGATCCTTTCATTATTATTTAAGCCAACATGTCATGTGGTCTGGTAAAGGCTCTTGTACAGCCCGAGACACGTGTTTCGTCCTTACAGACTCATCAGCCGGGCAGAACCCGTCGTCTGTCGATCTTTTCATAGTCAGTTCTCTCGGGAGCGTCACACTTACCAGACCACATGACATGTTGGCTCAAATAATAATGAAAAGATCTATTGTAATAAGAATAGTGTGAGATTGGGTCGGCATCGATTAAACATCGCTGTCCTGATAATCATCATCTACTGTACTGTGCTACTGGCACTCTAAAATGATCTTTAGGACAAGTTGTTTTCCAATGTGTATGAGCTTTGAACATGAAAGATCGGAAAAGAAGGCAGTTGATCTTGATAACTATTTAGATATATTGTAATGCCAATGTAACTGAGAGAGCCCTCGTCAAGTCATCCAGTGATTTTTGAACAGAGAACTATAAACAACCCACTAAACTTTTCGGCGTTCATAACATATTTCAACACTATATACTAGAAATTTGAATGAAGTGTCTGTTATGACATTTTCTTATTAGTCGAAATGTCATTCGGAAATGGGAAAGGCGAAGATAAAAGAAATGATGAATGAAGCACGTCTTATGCGCTTGTTCAAGGTTTGTACAAATTATTTTTTGTTATTGTAGATGGAAAGTCATTGAGTAGTCAATTTTATCAGTTCTTTATAGCACAAGAATGTTGTCCATATATACGGTGTGGCCGTTACTGAACACCCAATTCTTATCGTTTTGGAGCTAGTGAACGGTTCGTTTAGATCTCCGATAGGATCCACATATGCTCTTAAGAAAGCTTAATCGTTTTATCACTAGAATTCATTTGTATAAACTTTATGTCTTTCGTAAAATTCCATAGGTGGAGGGGTCTGGGCATTCACTAGGTTGTCTGTCATCTTCATGTATGGCTCCAAGATGTGCGGCCCCTCCACAATAGAAGTGGCAAGTCCAGGCAAATTTAGATTGCTCATACAATGGGGCATCTACATCGAGAACACTGCGATTTGTCAAGCTGCACGTCTTGTTAGATTAATATCAAGATAACATACAAATGCAGCAGTAATGATACTAGAATGAAATTAAAGAACTTATCAATCTAGAAGATGGTCGACGACGAGACTCACACTTCAACACCAATATCGACAAGTTTCAAGTTTCCAGGTGGAGCTCTGAATTCATTTCTTCGAACGTACGGCCATAATCTGACCTTGAGGGAAAAGGTCACAATGTGCGCTGGCGCTGGATCAGGAGTAGAGTACCTTCATCAGAATGAATGTATACACAGAGATCTAGCTGCAAGAAATTGTCTCATTACTGAAGATAGAGTGGTGAGCCGTTGGTATAAGATTACAGTGATTGCTAATTTCAGTGCATTCTAAATATATGCAGCTACTTTTGTATGTCGACAAATTAAAACTGGATGATAACTGCTCGAAATTGAGTTGAGAGAGAAGGCTGCCAAAATAAGCAGATTATCACTTCGTAGCTGTTGTAGATAACATGCATTTTGTGCATTACAGGTAAAGATCAGCGACTTTGGTCTTTCCCGTATTGGAACGCATTACACTCTGAAAACATCAATGAAACTTCCTGTAAGGTGGTTAGCGCCGGAATCGCTCGAAACGTTCACCTTCTCATTGAAAACGGATGTGTTCAGTTTTGGAGTGTTAGCGTACGAGATTTTCAGCAACGGAGGCGAACCGTGGGACGGCATGACCAATGCCGAAGTAAAGGCTGCGGTTCGTTCTCTGACTCTCATACCATTAAAATGCATTGATTTTTACGTTTCAATTAGTGAATTTCTTGACCATAAAAGTTACCAATAATGAGATTTATTTAATACTGCTTTGAGTTTCAACCGACTTTCCCCTCAAGACTCAAAAGTCGAATTAATAAGAAATCTACTGCTCAAACACTTTCTTAGCCCAATCAGAATGCGAAATACATATACTGCGTTCGCAAAAGCAGAAAAAATCTTCGAAACACTCACCCTTTTGCTTTTTATAAGCCCTTCAGTTATTCAAATGACACAGCGCACAGAGTTCGATGTGAGGGACAAATGTGCCAGGCTCATGTCGAAAAATTAGTTTGCTCTCAAAACAAGCATAGCAGTTACATCGCACCTTTCTACGGTTCATTTATGAGGCTTGAAATATATCTAAAATGCTTTGAGATTTTCCGCGCTGAATTATAAATTCATCACCTGCATCACCCGTCGTCCCGTTGATCGTCGAGTGACTCGAGCGGGTACCAGCAACACTTCCATTTTTCCCTATCGCGT